GAAATACATCACACAAAAGGGGGGGGGGGAATTGCTAGCACCTTGTTCTGTGTACAAAACTGAGGTGGGGACCCTCAAATGGAGTGTCAGCTTACAGACTGGCTGCCCCTCTCTAAAAAAAAAGGGGGGAGAAAACCAAGATGAATTATTATCAATTTCAGCCCAATTTCCTTCATCAGGAGAAATGTGCGCTTGGAAACAGTTGCAAAGGCCTAAGAGTCAAAAAGTCCAGAATAATCTCTGCTGCTTTTCCAAGTGGAAGCAGCAAGAAGTCTGTGTGTCTTTGGTCACTGACCAAAATAAACAAATAAGCCAGAGGATGCTGCAAAGGGGGACTTGTGATGCTGTCAAAGTCCCCCACCCACTCTTTTAAATACAGTAAGTGAATTGCAATGTCAGCTGAAGCCCAGGAGCCAGAGTGAGGCAAAGGTTCTTCCCAATGGGAAAACACCACCCACAAGCTCTGTAGTACTGCAGCATTTCAGAGAGATGTAACATATTGAATGTGATTTTAGAAACATACCAACTGAACAAAACCAGAACTGGATCAGTTTCTTGACATAGTTGATGGCGTCAGATCACATATGTCCAAAGCTGACTGTAGATGGATGCATCTCCAGATGCCCCAAATGGGTACAGACGTATTAAATAATGGATGGTATTGAGAAACTGAATAGAATTAACATATTTCTTATGTGAGTGTGTATGATATAATGCTAGAATACATGAGAATGAGTGGTGGAAAACTCTGGAAAGTTAACAGGAAAGTATTGTGCAAAAATTCTTATAAAACCATAAATATCTAAAATGACTAACACATACCAACCAGACAATCCCACATATGGATTCATATAAAACATAAATACTAGAACTCCTGCAGAAATGATCCAGGAACATCACCCAAGCCACATGTGCTTCGTTTACTACTTCAGTCATGTGTAATAAGCTAAAAAAGCAATATATAGAGGAAAACATGTTTCTTATATACAAGCTGGATAATTACAATTGAAAAATACTCCAATTGAGCTCTCCATTGCCTACTAAATTATGAGAGCTATCTATTACCTTTTCCATCAGAGGCAAGATACCACTAAATTCCAGTTGCTGGAAAATACTAGTATAAGGAAACTACAGCTTGCTGATTTAACAGTGGAGAAACAGAATGATGCATTAAATGGGATATTGATGAAATCCAATACAGCGTTCTTGTATTCTTATGGTAAGAGGTATTATATCCCCATTTAAATTACAATAATTATTTTAATACATACATAAAAGTGTGCAAATATTATGCAAATTGTCATTTGTTATCCTTTCAAAAAAAGAAATGTAAAAGAAAATGAATAAAATGTTGTAAATTTGAGTTCTGAACTACTGCAATAGTTCTTGAAGAAAAATAACAAGTTGAACCAAAGCATGACATAAATCACAATGTAAGTGGAAGTATAATTGTGCATTCTCAGATTACATAGCATAGGATTAACAACTGATTTATCTTATTTGTCATTTGAATTAAAATCAGCATGATCCATATTATCATCAGAACATAGATATTGCAAAATAAGGTACACTACATTCTTACAAAATCATGGAAGACTGCATTTATAATTTCACAATTCAATGGCAATGAACCCCCCCCCCCGAAAATACAATATATTCATGTGTACACATTTACTAAAGAATAGAAAACAGATAATTTTTTCTAAAAAATAGAAAACAGGAAAAAATAATATAAAATAACCCAGCATTTTTGCAAGGGGGCAAATATATAAATACTGTTTTTTTTAATTAACATTGTACCATCCATTTGAAAGCATTTTTACATTCAGAAAATGAATGATTCCACCCATTCCCCACATACCCTACAACAGTGGTTCTCAACCTTTTTAATGCCGTGACCCCCCCAACCGGTCGTAAGTCAAGGACTAAACCGGTCGTAAGTCGAGGACTACCCAACTGGTCGTAAGTTGAGGACTTTCCCTGCCCGGGAGCGCCGCGCATGCATGGTGCTGCCCCCTGCGCCGGCCGGGGCGTAGCTGGCAAGCGGCAGAGACGGAGCAGGCCGACCACCAACTGGGCCACCAGCTGGCCCAGCCCAAGGGAGGTAAGGCACCCGCCGGAAAAGGGGAAAAAATGGCGGACAGCCTTGCTTGGCGACCCCCGTGAAATGGTCGATCGACCCCAAATGGGGTCGTGACCCATATGTTGAGAACCGCTGCCCTACAAGAACAAAAAGCAAAGCAACGTTGATTAAATTTTTTTCAGTTTAATAAATTCTTACCAAAGTGTAGCATCTTTGGAACTTGTTAGTGCTTTTAAGTCAGTTTGTGTGATGCAGCAGAATGCCACAAGAATGTTTAGAGGTATAGTATACTTTAATATAAATAGTTCATAACTTCAGATCCTAATGTTAAAACAGCTCAGTTAAATCTACATTCTCTCCTGGGCAAAACATGTCTCCTGTAGGGTCTATAATATTTTGTTTTTCATCTTTCCAGAGTTAGCTCTTCCTTCCATCCAGCAATGCAGATCTTCTTAAATTCCTTGCTCTTCTTAAATTCCTTGCTCCTATATTGGGTTTCCTGTGGTCCCATTTCTCTTGGCTGTTTCATTTCCATTTTCCACTCTTAATTCTATTTTTCAGTCATATTACTTTGTCCCAACTTCTTTGATTATTCTCTCTTAAAAATTCTGCCACAATATGCCATGTTTCCTAAAATTAAGGGCACTTTCAAGTGGGCTTTGACTCAGTCCTGTGTAGTACCATACTACTGGTAGCACCAGTGGAGAATCATTTTGTTTTTTTTTAAAGTTAATTGATCAATATCCAAAATTAGAAAACTGGTGCGTCTCCTGCCCCTACCTGCCATACTCTCAATGTGGCTCATCTAGCTTACTATTTCATCATAGACAACAGTGAAAACTTACAATAATTGATTACTACAGTTTAAATGCTAGGTTTCTTCCTCTTACTGTCTAAATTAACAGATGGTTGGCTAGTGTCTTGTTGGTGTTAGAGGAACCTGAAAATTGGATAACTTACTGGTCCCTCTCTTGTTGATCTTAGGCCTTAGTCCTCCAGGGTTTCATAGTGATTTGATATCCATCTTTACTCAGGCCACTTTTTTCCCCTTCACAATTAATGAGAAGAGGGAGAACTGGGGTGGAAGAGGGCACTAGCTAGATGCCTATTTCCACACTTCCTTATGGAGGGAGGAAGGTCAATACGAGTTATTCTTGCAACACTCAAATGAATTCAATCACAAGCCATTTTGGCAATGCCCCTGAGAGTTTGGGAAGTGTTTCAGGGATGAGAAAGGTAGCCACAAAAAAGAGTTCCAGGCTTGTCTTCTAATCTTAAGTGTTATGGCAGGATGAAAAGGCAAAATGGAACTTTTTACCCTAAGTTTTACCCTAAGTTTGAAAAAGCATTTTATTTTTAATTTGGTAGTTAGGATACTGCAAATTAGAACTTCCATTCTCCATTACTTTGCTTCCAAGACCCTATTGGCCTTCTGTAATGGCCTGCTTTTTCTCCCATTCACTAGACTGGATTGGCTGATGAACCTGTTCTGTAATGTTATTGTTGCCAGCTTTGATTGTTTGTTGATTATAAGTTGTTTTTGTTTTTTAAAACTATTTTTCAATTGTTGTATGCCACCAGGAGTCACAAATTATGAGGGGAGACTTTACAAATCTAGGGAGGGAAGGAAGAAAGAAAGGAGGAGGAAGGAATGAAAACCTCTAGGTCAGTGGTGGTGAACCTATGGCACGGGTGCCAGAGGCGGCACTCAGAGCCCTCTGTGAGCCCACGTACCGTTGCCCCAGCTTTGCCTCCCCCGACTCCCTCACCAGCAGCCCCCCCCAGAGGAGAGTCACCCCCAAGCGTGGCCCACGCAGAGTAGTGCAGCCAAGGACATGGCAGCCAGGCAGAGTAGACAAGACTCTGCCCTCACACCCCATCCTGCACAGTTGATGCTGCGGGGCGTGGGCAGAGGGAGTGGCCACCATGGCGCTGCTCAGTGATCTGTGGCAGGCCCTGGAGGGGGTGAGTGGCCCTGTGGGCAGGCAGGGTGGGGGTGGATCAAGGGTGGGGCAGGGAGTGGAGTGGGGGCGGGGCCAGTTTTTGGGCACTTGGTCTCTAAAAGGTTCACCATCGCTGCTCTAGGTAGTGTGTTTCAAACTTGGCAACTTTTAAGATTTGTGGAGTTCAACTTCCAGAATTCCCCAGCCAGCATATTCTGGACTCTACATCACCTGTTCAGAAAAATTGATTGCAGACCAGTGGCTTATTGGGGGGGGGGGAGGTTTATTTGGAGAAGTGCCCAAATGAGAGAAGAAATGAAAGAAAGCAGGAGAAGTAAAGTGTATTTAGATAGGTGGCAGGGAGTAATCTCACATTTGTTGCCCATTAAACTCTCACTTTTGTGATCATAAATGTAAACTTTAGTCCACCAAGATAATATCCACTTTCCAGCTTTCTGACAAGCCAGTATCCCCTTTATGAGAGTTGCCTAGCGGTCACTAACTACTACTTGCTATAACAATCCTCCGCACTGCTTGTGACTGGATCCACAGTGCTTGCAGAATCACCTAATTAATCCAAGCGGCAATCTGACTTCAACCCAACGACGCGGGTGGGCTTGGATTATAGCGATTGCTTTACAGAAATGCCGGCAGTCATTGTACTTTACGGGCGGCTGGAGCAAAATCGGATGCGAAACAGGAAGGTTGGGGGTAACCACAGACTGGATCTTCCCGAAGAGATGATTCATTGCAATCTTGCAATCCGAAGGCCAGTCAAGAAAGAGAAGAATATTCTCCGTAATAGTTCCATTTCCGTTTAATTGGATACCTCAGAGAGCCCTTTTACGAGACGCTGCGAGAGATACTGAAGCCGCCGCTGTTGCAGCTGATGTGACGCGCAAACGACCCCCCCCCTTTTTTTTCTTTTTTACATCCCCGCCTTCCCGTATAGAGCGCCTGCCAATAAGGACCGAAGCGTTTCCATCCACCCCAAAGTCGCTTCGCCATAGGCCGGCATGGGATGTCATTCTTGAGCCGCTTTCCCCGCTTTGGGAACTGACGCAGGGCTGAGGAGGCAAGGCAAGGCAGGATAGCGGAGTCCAGGCTCCAGCCGCGCGAGCTACCGAAGAGCAGCGCCAAAGCTGCGATGCTGCGGTTGCGCCATCTGTCAGGAGCCTGGGGGGCGGCGGCGGCGGCGGCGGCGGCGATGATAGTGGAAGGAGGGGAGGAGACTGACTGAGGCAGCTTTTCCTAAAGACTTGCATTTGGAAAAGAAAAGAAAGAAAAGGGAGGAAGCGGAGCCCTCCCGAACCCCATCTTCTCCGGACAAGCACCGCCAAGGCTGCCCACGCGCCGAACAAAGCTGCGGCCGCCCTCTTCGCCTCCGCGCCCCTCGCTGCTGAGGCAGGGACTTTTGACGCCCACCCGTTTCCTCCCCTCCGCGGTCTTTTCGGTCCTTGTGTTAGTAATAGCAAGCTCCGGAGCTGGCGGGAAGTGAGCGAGCGAAGGGACCTGGAGAGCATTTCACGAGGGACTCCCGCCTCCGCCCTTAGGATCCTGCAGAGAGGAGGAAAAACGAAGGGGAGGGGGCGTTGGTGAGAAGGGGGCTCTGCAGACCAAGTCCTGCTGCGTTTCAGGTAAGACCCAGAGCGACGCCCTCCCCCCCCCTTACACATAAACACACACACACACATATAATGACACGCCGCCCCGCCTTAGGGGAAAGGGAAGGAAGCGTGCGCCGGCTTTTGTGTGCTCGTGTTGGGTTTCTTTCCCTGCGCCCTGCTTTGTGCGCACTTCTTTGCTTGAAGTGCCTTTGAGCGTAATTGGCTCTTTCCTTCCTGCCTCCCCCCCCCCTCCTTCGGAGCTCCCTCCTGCAACCCCCGGGGCTATGTAGGAACCTACATTCCCGCAGGAGAATTGGAAAGGTGGCGGCGGTAATAGAAGCGTGGTAATTCGGAGTGGGTGGGGATGGGCCCAAAGAACGAGTGGCGGGGGAAGCCTACCCACCCGTATGAAGGGAAATCGCTTCCGTTCGCAGTGCAGGAAGGGTTAATTATGTCGTTGAATGTGGCTGGGTGGGGAGTGAGGATCCCCTAAAGAATTTTTAGATACAGATATACTTAATACCGTACATTTATACGTGTTCTCCTAAATGCACGTGAGAATTAAACCTCCAGCTTGGCTAAGACCACCGTGGCTAAGACTCACAAAGGGTGTAGTCCAAGTCCTAAGCACTAATGGTTGGGGGGGGGTCATTCACATTATTGTTGGGTAAGAGTACTCGTGCTATTTTGGGGACGGAAGTCCTTGAGAGGAAGACTTGGAGATTAGAAGTTTCTCTTCTCTAGATTTGGCTGATGATGTGTTGGCATGAAGGGTATCGCACCAGAAAGCGTTGGGTTAGTGTGACTTGCTGGCGAATTTGTGAGAGACCGGTTCTTGTGACCTGCTGATTAGGACTAATGGTGCCACATGACAACATGTTCAAAACTGGGTAATGCTTACAGATCTGCTGAGCTGAGGCTTTGTGAAATGAGGGCTTGCTGCTTCTGTGTGGCTGTGGTGTTCTGGAGTGGAACTTGTTCCCTTGGCCCATAAGAGAAGAAAGATGGATAATCCCTGATGGAGATGCATAGTGGTGTGAGAACATTAAATAGATAATGTTCTGTAGCTTGTGAATGTGGAAAAGAATGGTAATAACTCTGATGATGTAATCCTTTAATAATTGATGACTTTCCTGTTCAGCTGGGTTTTTCACACTCTAAAGTTTTTCTTCCTTTGGGGTCCTTTGCAAAAAAATCCTTTAGATCAGATCTCAGCCTCTCTAACTTGCACAAACTGAGTAATTTAGTAGTCTAAGGATGGGAGGAGCCATAGTGCTCCATGCCTGGGCTTTATGTTGCTGTAAGTTAACTGCAAAAAGAGGGAGTGGAAGAAATAGTAAAACGGTTCCTCCTCTTCAAATAATTTTTGCAGGATTTGTATAAGAGTGACAAAGAGAGGGCTTTAAGAGAAGAGATCGATAAAATGCTGAAGGGCACTGAAGTTTGAAAGGGGCTCTCATTTCCTCCTTTTGATTCTTCTTTCTCCTCCCAGGGGCTGCAATTCTCTTTCCTCAGGAGAGACCACTACTCTACTCTCATTTACTTCCCTTAAACATTTAGCCTTAATGAAGGATTCTAAATGCTCCACCGTGGCCTGCATTTTTGGTAGCTGCAATCTTAAAGGGCATTTAAACCATTTTTAAAAGGCTGTTTTTGTGGTGCACTTGAGTTTGATATAATGCTCTATCTGAAAAAAAAAATCAGAATTTTTCTAATTTAAAAATGAAGGAGTGATTCATGCAGGTGATTCAATTCATTCTGAGGTAGAATAATGCCAAAAGCATAGTCCTATTCATGCTGACTCAGAAACAAATCCTATTAAGTTTAATGGATTCAGGTGTATAAGACTGCAACTATAATGCACATAATAAAGGTGAAATAAAAGATACACACTCCATCTCTTTTATTCTCTCACCTCACCTTTAATACTGTGATGGATCGGAATCCTCCAAAAAAGAGAAACAGGTTTGGAAGATAACCACTTTCTAGGTACCTTCTACATTAGGGGTGTCAAACTGCCAGCCCATGGGCCAGATGCATCATAGCGAAACCGCTCCCACCCCATTGCTGGCAATGGCAAAAAAGTCATGATACGTAGTGACATATCACATGATGTTGCAAATTTGACGTCCCTGTTCTACATGAATTCTGGGAACTTCAATTCTCAGAATTCTCAGTATTGCTGGTTGAGAGTTCTGGGAACTCCAGTTTAGTCTGCCATATATAGAATTTAAAACCTCTGGTTTTCTCATTTTCAATTGCACATCCTTGTTTTATACTACCTAAGTAAGTAAATTATAGTGAACTGTTCTTTACAGCAGAATTACCACATGATGCCATTGTAAGAATTATACTAATTGTTGAATGCACTTGTGCTGATTTTTAAAAGATACAATCTACTAGTAAGGTATAATCATACATCCTGTAACTCTAGAATAAATTTAGTAAAATTAATTTTATTTGAATTATTTATAAGGCTGCCTATTTTAGCATATTGACTCTGGGTGACTAACAATTCATAAAAGAATACTTTTAGTTGCTTACTATTTAATATAATGAAGTTATTTTATAAATGGTCCTATTGTCCTTGTGTTAATAACTGTTACCTGAACAAATGTAAAGAGATGCTAATTCCACTTAAATATGTTCATTGCTTACACCAGGAGTGTCAAACTGCCGGCCTGTGGGCCGGTTGCATCATATGGAGGCCACGCCCACCCCAGCTCCAGCAATGCAAAAAAAGTCGCGATATATCACATGACGTGGCGAGTTTGACACCCGTGGCTTACACTGTCTGAGAGGGAAAAAGGCCAAAGCCTGCATTATAACCTCTGATATAGTACATGCACCTCAACATTTAAAAACAAAAATGACACAATAATAGAGATGCAACTGCAGTGGCCCCACTCGTTTCTCACTCCCTTCCCTAAACCTTTTTCCTGTTATCTGGGCTCAGAGAATAAGAGTGAATCTGGCTAAAGGAAAAGGAGTTATTGGAATGGGCATCTACAAGAACTGGCTGTTTTCATTAACATGGTGAAATCAACAATGTAGTGTTGTGCTGAAGATTCCACCCCTTTTGTTTGTTCATATGATATTTACAACACATGTATAAAGGTGGTTGGGTTTGCATCACAATGCCACGGTGCTGCTTATATCATTTTACACCAACACTTCTGAAATAAATCTCAAAACACTGTTATGGCCACAGCAACATGCAAGGGTTAGGTGATCACTATTTGTGACTTTGCTAGCTGGCTTCAGACAACACAGTCAATGGGGGAAGCCAGATTCATTTAACAGTGCATGATTCATTTAATGACCACAGCAAAACGACTCCTAAAATCAGGTGTGGTCACACAATGACTTAATTACTGCCTTGCTTAGCGATGGAAGTTCTGGTCACTGTTGTAATAAGTTGAGGTCTGCGTTTCACCACTACCTAACCTTGTAGGCTAGACTGGGAAACTAAAAAAAGATATCAACACCCAAGCCTCAGAAGAGTAAAAACCACTTCTATCCTGTTGCCAAGAAAACTGATTCCTATCGGAAGTAAATCTCAGCTCATATTTGTGTCATTACATTTAAATGGTGGGAAGAGGGTTTTAATTCTCCTCTCAATGATTGTATTTTCATGCTACAAACCTGAGACACACCCCAGTGCAGGAGTCTTCAAACCTGACCCTTTTATGCCTGCCTGAGGAATTCTGGGAGTTGAAGTTCACAAGTCATAAAAGGGCCAAGTTTGAAGATCCCTACCCCAGTGAATCAGTTCTCTGGAAATGATCATTTTAGTAAGAAGATCATCTGGCTCTTGACTGGCCTAAGCTTAGCTGTTCACTAACATACTAACTCTTGCATATTTAATTGAAAATATGGGAACAGCTATTGATTTTTTACATAGGTGAATGTAGATAGATATATCACATCACAAGTACGCTTCCACGAATTTATCTGCATTGTGTCCATTTATTTTTAATGAAATTATTTTTATAAAATAAGGGTTGAGATTTTAAAAACAATTTAATAATTGTAATGTAGTGCTTAAAATGCATGAAAACGTATGCATTGTAGAATTGTTTCTTAGGCTTGTTGTTGAAGAACCAATGAAGAATAGCTGCAGTTTTTCAGATAAACTAGTAGTACATAGACATCAACTCATTGACGTCTATAGCGCTAAGGTTACTAACTTTGTTTCATTATAATGAGCAACTTAGATATGATTATATTTGTTCCAAGGAACAACTTCACTTCACTTTTCTGTCCTACTTCAGAGGAAATGCTGCTGTATAGTAATTTCTTTAGAAGCATTGGCTGTATGAGACAATTTTGACAGGGCTGAATGTCTTTTGTAAGATTATGCTGTTTAATGGAAGAATTTGATAGTTGCAGCTGGGATATTAGTGCTGTTGGGAAGTAATTTAAAGAGCTGCTTCTCAGATTCATAATATTTCATTTATGCCTTCAAAATCTATTTTTGCAATGCTGATATACCATGTATTAATTTCTTTTGTTAGAATAGCAGTTCAGGAAACAATCTGAACATATGAGGATTCTGGCTTTCAGATTACAGTGAAAATTGTAGAACAGAAGTAATTTTGAACATCTCTATGAGCCATTGTCTCGCCCAGTTGAGGTAACATTTCTTGAGTGAGTGTAAATGGTTTTTCAAAGAATTCAATTCCAGAAAAGATGTATTCACTAATGTAATAGTAAAAATAAATAATTCGTATCCCATAAGGAAGATGGGTGGTAAAATTTCCTGACTAGATATCTTCCAGATATGTGGAACACCATATTCTGTTGAATATACAGATTTATGGGTGCACCTAGCTACCTTTAATATAGTTGCAAGGTAATACAGTACCAGTTGGGGAATACTGTACTAGCCTGGGGAATAATTTTATTTTTGCCAGCAAATAGTGCATACTTTTATGTGTGCATATCTTGTTACATTCAGACATGTTTTAGAGTTAAAAAAAATAAAACATTTCAGGATATCTGATGTCAAATCATTTTTTCCCTGACGT